ACATACATACATACATACATACATACATACATACATACATACATACATACATACACATACACACGTATGTACGCACACAAATCTCGCTATATAGATAACTAACATACAAACACATAATATAGTCGCACCTGCTTTATCGACTACCTGTCCCAAAGTCAATCACCTGTACATATGACCACAGCCCCCTCCCTCCGAAGGTATTTCTATTATAACAACCCTGTCTGAAAGGACTACCTGTCTAAGAAGACTACCTTTCTGCTCGGCAATGGGTCGTCATGTTAATGTACATTCATTGTGCCTCTCTTCACTCAACAGAGTATCACCTTATAACCGTTTGTGTTACAACAACAACAGCAACAACAACAACAACACCAGCAGCAGCAGCAACAACAACAACAACAACAACTACTACTACTGCAACAACAACAACAACGAAAATAACAACAACAACAACAGCAACAACGACAACAATAGTAAACTAACAGTGTGTCTTCTCTGAAGCAAGATTCTCACCTGACAGATCTAAGAATGTACGGCAGCTCTGCTTGGTGAGAGCTCATGGTCGGGCTGACGTCACTCCCGGGGGGGTCTGCCGAGTGACTGACGGACAGTCCGATAGTCGCCGCCACTCGCACAGCACTGGCCAGCACCGACGTGTCTAACGGCTGACCGTGCTGTTGCTGCTGCTGTTGCTGCTGCTGCTGCTGATGCAGGTGGTGGTAGCGACCTACGGGCTTCTGGAACTCGGCGCCTCCATGGGCAAAGCTGGCGCTGCAGCTGCGGATGATTTTGGTACCGGAAGTGTCCGGTCCGGCTGCGGCGATCGAGCCACAGGAGACGCGATGGCGCTTGCTGGACACCGGAACCTCCACTTTGGCGGTCGGGTGGGACACACAGGAGCACGTGACAACCAAAAATAGAACTGGAAACAATGTCCCAGGGTAGTAAAATGTGTTTCGGGAGGCAGCAGTTGAGGATGATGTTTCTGCCAACCGTCCCTTGGAAACTAGAAAGTTGTATCCGGCTGGAGGACGGCGCCGGAAGAGATTTGATGTTGCTTGAGTTGAGACTCGTGATTAATGACTGCCCCTGCCCCAAACACTAAATGGTGAGAGGCTGGCTTCTCTACGCTACTGATTTATTAACCAGCCGTTTCCGCCTTTACCAGAGAAAGTTTCTCATTTCAAAAACAGTATGACGTAATGTTTCAGTCCCGCATACGTGAAGGAAAACGGTTTTTAAAAAAATCCCAAGTGAAAGATAAATGACCTACGTTCAGGCAGCAAAAGAGGAGCAGATGGAGTCTGGGATTTGACGTTGTTTTCTCACTGTGTTACTGGGCCAAACGGCGTCGAAAACCACCAAGTCGGGGTGTATAAAAGAATTCATTAAACGAACACATTCCTCCGTGTGATAAAGCTTGTGATAGATACTAGCAGAAGAAAATCACATCTCTGTGTATTGAATGCTGTTGTCCCAGACTTCTCCTAATATGTGTACAACCTTGGACACTACGTTATAAAAGAGAATAAAGTCCTTTTTTATATTTCTTTGACAAGTCTGTTGATTAAGAGAATACGAAATAAAAACAAAATAGATTGAACAAAAACTTTTACATTCCAAAATCAAGGAAAATAATGAATCGCTCATCAAATACGCCCAATGTTTACGTTGAAAAGAAGTAAAGCTTCTTGTTCGAATCGTATTAATATCTCTAAGGATTGAGAAATTTCGGGTCGGGGTGTGTGTGTGTGGGGGGGGGGGGGTCTCAGGAGGGAGAAGGAAGCAAAGTACAGACAGGGGAGGGAATGCATAAACAGTTTCGACATGGCATGACGCTTTTTCACATTTAAAAAAAACTTTGTTTGTTCTAGCATGCACTCCCCCCCCCCCCCCCACCGACCAACCCCCACATCACCGTCTTCTCCCTCCCTTCACAGTCTTTTTCGAAGAAAAAGAAAAGAGCATTAGCTGTCCTCTCGCCAAGCAATCACGTCTGTTCCAAAGAGGCAATCATCATCTAGCTATAATCCACTTGTCACGTTATGTCAAATACCTATACTTATTCTTCTCAAGAAAATCCTCTTTGAGGAAAAAGGGGCGGGAACAAAAGACTAATAGAACGGCTTAATGAATCCTAGGGGTGATTTGTTTGCACCTAATACTTAAATGATGGTGATAACGATTATAATAATCACAGGTAAAAATAATGAAAACAAAATTATCATTATTATAAGCAGAATAATAATATTACCGATAATAGTACAAGTAAAGCTGATAATAATAACCATATTAGAAAATAATCATAATCTTAAAAACAATCATTATCATAATGATTGGAATCACTATCACGATGTCAATGATGATTATAACTATTAGAATGTTTTCAATGACAAAATTTGAATAATTCCTGAAGCTTTTCATCATTACATTTGCAGAGTTTTTATCTGATATCATAAAGAAATAATCTCACGCTGACTTCATCATAGATAAAGCATACTACACAAAGACACGCTTTAAACCGACACAATGTATAATTTTTTGGTAGATCAAAGGACAGTGTACCTTTACTGGTTCCTTTTGCATTGTTTGGTTTGGCTTGGCTACTTTCTTATCCGATGCGATCGAGCAGATACGACTACGTATATACGTATATAAATGTGCACACCACCTATTTTTTCTCAGCCTTTCTGTCAGAAACTCATGAGAGGACTGCAAAGAGACCGCCTAAAATCTCAGCTTCCGATAGTATCTGTCTGACACTAACTTCTATGAGCTCTGAAGAATTATTTCCCCAAACCGCACCCACAACCCTCCCACCCCACACCCTTCCATATCCCACCGCAACCCCGTCCTTCCCCCACCCACCCCCCTCCTCCGTGCCCGCCTCATACTCAATCGATGACAGGAACGACGACTAACAAAATTGTCCTCCATCATGACTCCACACGAGCATTTGTTTGCACGCATGCGGAACGGAATGGCTGAGATCAATTTCATGACAAAGTCTCTACTCACCTCTCACGCAACCCTCTCAAGGGGATGGAGTTCCATAATATGTCTTTTGGAAGTACCAAAATGGGCGTGTTCTTTTCAGCAAAATTAGATAAGTTCTTCTTCTTCTTCTTCTTCTTCTTCTTCTTCTTCTTCTTCTTCTTCTTCTT